CTCTCTGGTTTTGCTACAACGCTTCTAGACCAGAAAAACTGAAACCACTTATCACTGGAAGATACGCAAATCCATGGTGTTTTAAGATTGTTCGATTACTTCCCTGCGATTATCGTACAAAAAAACGTGCTTCGATGACACTATAATAATTAACGAATGGCTAAAAAACTTGGATCTGCAAATGAAAAAACAAAAATCCTTCTCTTAATTGATCATTTGACATATGTTAGACCATGTTAAAGTCGAGTTTATATTTTCAAACTGCACAGCAGTACTGCAGTGTTCAGATCTAGGAATCATACATGTAGTTAAAATACATTAGAGGAACCAACTTATCAGAAGGTTTGCGCTGAAATTAGTTTCAGAGAATAATGAAAAATTAGAAGTTAATGAAGTATGTGATACGATCACTGCGATACGGTGGTTCGTGAAAGAATCAAGTATATCATAAAGTGTTGGAGGAAGACCTTGATTCTCGCACACATTTTTCTTTCTTGAAAAGCAGACAAATGTAACAGCGAAGACTGGAACAAAAGTGGAACATGAGGTAAGAAAAATGGGGAATTCCGTAGTTGCTGCCACTGCGGTTCCCGACATAGTTGACAATGAAGATAACACAGATGCAGCTGACAATTTTGTTGACAGCGACTGAGTTTACGGACAAGGAAATTACTAAAAATGTACAGGAATCTTCAAGTGATGACGACATGAGATCTGGGAGTGAAGACGACGACAAATCTGATGTAACAACATGGAATAAGTTCGCTCTGCCTATTGTTGCCCCAGAAAATAATTTTCAGCAGTTAAATACCATCATTTTAATGGTGGTACTAAAAATATTACACAACTGAAAATAACGGACTTTCTGATCAAAATTAATGGTAATAATTATTTGCATTTGTATGACTATTTTTGAATAAAAGGGTTTATAATTTCTTTTTTCTTATTCGTCCAAATGTCTGCCTTCGCAACCTGTAGCAAAGTCTTAACCTGTATTGCTTGGTGTAGAGCCAGTCACAGTAGTGGTGCTGAAGTTGTCCTGAGAGTAGTGCTGGCAGTGTCGAATGCGGGATTAATTTCAGTACATCACTGAATGACGCTAGCCATCAACCTTGCCTCTTTATTTGCCTTCACCAAACTGTTGCGGGTAACTTGGACCACTGTTTAAAGTGACACCTAAGCATCACGGTTTCTATTTATTTAACAGAGGCAAACAGCTGAAAATCAAATGAGCGGATACTGGAACTTGACAACTATTCAAGTAAAATGAATGGCGTCGACGACAGTTCGTAGGGCTGAATATCGGTTATACAAGATGCGTGTTACTTAGGAAATATCCACATGTTTGGCTTGCAGTCCTGCACCGCCTACATGCAACTGCGATCCACCGACGAATCAATCTCGTATGTTATTGCATCGTCCCTAAGTAAATGTTTAGGGTAAGGATAAACGTAACAGATTTCTGATCGATTAAATTCGTCGCAATATTTTCTGTTCACCTAAACTCGTTCTATCACATTTCTAGTAATATAGTAATATAACAGGAACATAACCTGAGCTGCGAAGTAACGCACCAATGCCATATTACGAGCTTTGGGTGGTCTTCCAACCAGGCAGCAGCAACCAAAGAAAACCAACGATTTCATCATCTGGACTAATTCCTCATTCATTACCGAGGAATCCTTGTAAAAGAATACTCCGACGGCACGACGGAAGGACGAGGACCTACGTCGTATTTCGCCCAAAAAATGTACGAAGAAAATAAAGTCATCTAAACCGCGAAAAGCGGAAGATGTTACTCAGCTGACTTCGACAGGAACAGTAGGCGCGGCGAGACTGCTGTACGGACGTCAACGCCCGAAAGTCTCACGAGACGTCTGGGCGATGACCATGCAAACGCCAAAAAGA